GAAGATTAGTTATATTTGTGAACATAACACTGTCTTAGTTTCCTGTTGTAAGTACAAATCTTTTTAAAAAAACGTTAGTTTGGTTTAAACCAACATTTTTTTAATTGGTTTAAACCATGGTTTAAACCATGCAACCTTGGTTTTGGCATTAAAGAGTTAAGAGAAGTAGCCTTCTTGACTGTAGTGGCTCACTCGGCATTGGGAAGGTGAACAACATTAAAAAAAAGAAGTTGACAGAAAACTTGGGTATGACAAAAAATGGAAATTATGAGTGAGGAAAACACAAAGACAGTAGAGAATTCCAAAGTACACATGTTCAAGGAAAAAAATTAAATTTTTTAACATGAAGGAACAGTTATAGTGAAAGGATGCAACTTTGCTGAATGATGAGTCAGGTAAAATCAAATTTTGGTGTTTTCAATCACTTGCAAACAAGTGTTTGCAAGTGATTGAAGTGACCATCTACAAAAGTTGTAATTAGGAAAAAGAGTAAGGTTAGGAAAAAGTTAACTATATGAGAGATTGAGAAAAACCAAATTTTTTAGCTTTAAAGCATAACAAGTTCAGTGGTACTAAAGCAAAATAATTTAGGATGATGAACATTAAAGTTGTCAATAACAAAAATATTGAGTTATTTAGAGAAAGAGCTTGGTCAATTTAAAAAGAAACAACATCGAAAAAAGGGCTAGTCTTGAAAAGAAAAAAAGAAAGATGACTGATTGAAGAGGTGCTAAACAAAATCAATGAGAAATTTTAGAGGACTTCAACATGAGCAAAATGCTTTTTTTCTTTGTTTTTTTCTTTTTAACAATTTTTTGCAATTTTAAAGAGCTCAATCTTAAAAACTAGATTAAAACAAACTGTATGCTGATCTACACACAAAAGATAAACATTATTACAAAACAAACTGTATGCTGATCTACACACAAAAGATAAACATTATTACAAAACAAACTGTATGCTGATCTACACACAAAAGATAAACATTATTACAAAACAAACTGTATGCTGATCTACACACAAAAGATAAACATTATTACAAAACAAACTGTATGCTGATCTACACACAAAAGATAAACATTATTACAAAACAAACTGTATGCTGATCTACACACAAAAGATAAACATTATTACAAAACAAACTGTATGCTGATCTACACACAAAAGATAAACATTATTACAAAACAAACTGTATGCTGATCTACACACAAAAGATAAACATTATTACAAAACAAACTGTATGCTGATCTACACACAAAAGATAAACATTATTACAAAACAAACTGTATGCTGATCTACACACAAAAGATAAACATTATTACAAAACAAACTGTATGCTGATCTACACACAAAAGATAAACATTATTACAAAACAAACTGTATGCTGATCTACACACAAAAGATAAACATTATTAAAAAACTCATTTTATTAGATACCTGCATTCAAAATTTATAAGTCATCAAAGTGAGATAATGATTTTTATTACATACAGTTATCACAGCTATGCAGCATACAATCTACTTTCAATGCTACACACCATTAATTTCAATAAGTTTTTGTAATCAGCTTTTCCGTAAACTTTCTGTAAAAGAAGATTTACATTTTCATGGTACTGACAAACACAAACTGCATTAAGACCAGAAGCACAACCAACAGGAAAGCACCACTTGGGTCTTAACTCTTAAAATTTTAAAAATCCATCTTAAAGTTTTTGTTTTTTTTTTAACTCAATATGGTATATTAAAATATGATATTAAAATATTATATTTTATTAAAAATATTAAAAAACTCAATAGTTTAGTATATAGACTAAAAGTTGGATATATTTCTTTATATTATTTACTTTAACTGACACAAACTCTTTCTTTCCAAGACAAACCCTTGAATACACCTTGAACATTCATTCATAGAACTTAACAATCTCTGTATTTTACAGAGGTTGTTAAGTTCTATGAATTTATCTGCTTAGTTACCAACCCAATTTTGGAGGTTTTGATAATATGATACTATGTTTTCCTAATTTTCTGCCATGTATTAAAAATCTTTAGGAGGTTGAAAAATATTAAATTATCTCTATTGCCTAACTGTCTGAAGTGATTGAAAAAAGTTTTACTTTTTCTTATGGATTCTAACAACTTTTGTCAAATTTTGACTTGATTAGACTCATAATATAGTCTAAATTTTTTGTTTTACTTTCACCAAGTGCAGCTATTTCTACACCTAATATATAGGTGATAACCATTTTGTGTAAAAGTTCTTATGTTAATAACTTTACATTTTCCATATATTATCTTTTTTTTTTTGGAACAAGCTTAAGAGCATCCAAAACTTAAAATACTTAAATCTACTTTTAATGTAAGGTTGTTAAGATAAATGTCTTAAAATACTTAAATCTACTTTTAATGTTGTTAAGATAAATGTCTTATTCTTGGGATACATTTTCTTTTGTAAAAGTTTGTAATGCAGTTTTTCTGCAACTAGTGCAGATTTTTTTACCCGGAATTAAATTAGGTAAGCTAAAATCTTTCGCAACTAATAGACTAATGGTAACAAATAAATCTAAGAGAATGGTAAATAATATCTCCACAAGAGAATGGTAAATAATACCTCCACATGAGAATGGTAAATAATACCTCCACAAGAGAATGGTAAATAATACCTCCATATGAGAATGGTAAATAATACCTCCACAAGAGAATGGTAAATAATACCTCGACATGAGAATGGTAAATAATACCTCCACAAGAGAATGGTAAATAATACCTCCACATGAGAATGGTAAATAATACCTCCACAAGAGAATGGTAAATAATACCTCAACAAGAATCTATTGAACAAAAGTTAATAATTACTTAAATAAAACTTTTGATTTAATAAATTCAATATTCAAACTTACTTTTCACTTATTTTGTGTGCTTGTTCAAAGGATGACAACAATACTTTTATTATTTTGTATGATAGCACTGTTCATTTAAAAATAAAATAAGGAAAAAGCTCAGACATACTCATTAATAATCAGTTCTAAAAAACAATAACAGTTTATTTGGTTACATTAGTATTTTTTTAAATTGACATTTGACCAGTTTGTACAAATAATTTAAATTTATTTTTATGAATAATTTTCTTTTCTTTTAGAGATCTTTTTAGATTATAAATAAATTCCAATTATTCTTTGTTTTTGCTTTTATTAATAAACATTCTTTAGTTGATGGGTACACAAAATTTTAAGTAAAAAAAAAATGTCATCATAGGTAACAGATGTTTTGCATCAGAGATCAATTTTTAAAAATTCTTGAGTTGGGTCACTTTGATAACTTGTAACTTATTTAAAAAGTTTAAAAAAAAAAAGTCATCAATTGATTTGTATCGATTTTTAGTTTTTTATATTGAGCTCTTTAAAATCACAAAAAAATTCAATTTGAAAAGAAAAATATCAACTCTAGACCACCATTATGGAAAAAGTTGTGATATCTGATTTTAATTTTTTTTTTATGTGTCCATAAGATACTTGCTATTTTAAAAAGTATAAACTCGTTAAAAAGTGACTCGTTAAAAAGTTGTCACCTGTAATAGTATAAAACTAACTTGTTCAAAAGTTGTGTTAAAAACAATAAAAAAGTTGTGAGCTGTTAAAAACAATAAAAAATTTGTGAGCTGTTAAAAACAATAAAAAAGTTGTGAGCTGTTAAAAACAATAAAAAAGTTGTGAGCTGTTAAAAACAATAAAAAAGTTGTGAGCTGTTAAAAACAATAAAAAAGTTGTGAGCTGTTAAAAACAATAAAAAAGTTGTGAGCTGTTAAAAACAATAAAAAAAGTTGTGAGCTGTTAAAAACAATAAAAAAGTTGTGAGCTGTTAAAAACAATAAAAAAGTTGTGAGCTGTTAAAAACAATAAAAAAGTTGTGAGCTGTTAAAAACAATAAAAAAAGTTGTGAGCTGTTAAAAACAATAAAAAAAGTTGTGAGCTGTTAAAAACAATAAAAAAAAAGCATTTTGCTTTTAGAGGAAAATCTTATGCAAAATAACCCACTACTAAAAGTGTTTTCTCAAGAACTGTATTTGATATTTAACTGAAATCATGGATACTGTTTATGAAAACTGAAATCTGTCTTTGATGATTTTGGTAGAAGAATCTGCTTTGATAATTTAATGGAAGAATATGCAGAAGCAGTCTTTTTGTATCAGCGCTTAGTCAAGTTTCATAAAATATTATCCTAACAAACTAAAACTTTAAAAAAAAAAAAAAAAGACTTGAAAGTTATTTAAGTTGACAAATATGTCATTTTTATCTGCTGATTATCTAAACTTTTGGAAAGAATATAAGAGAAACATTATAAATAAAGCCAATAGGCATTGGCAAAACTTGCTTTAAACATGCTCTTTTACCTCCACTTGTAACATTTGATATGGAAATGTTAATTTTAAATACAGGAAACATCTAATGAAAAGTTTTTTTAACATTTTTTTGCCAAAAAACGATCATAAATGAGATAGATGTAAATAATAGTTTTCAAAACTTTATTTGTCCTTCCTTTTAATATTAACAAATTTAAATAGAAAGTTTTATATGAATGTTTTTAGGCTTACCTGATTATTAAAAAATACTTTTGTAGGACAATTACTTTAGTTAAAAAAAAAATGTTATGAATACGAGCCCTCATAATAACAATAGTTAAAATCTTATATGTAAAAAAATTATAGCAAAAAATAATGTACTGTATAAAAAATAGTGTTAGTTCATTGTCCAAAATCATTTCTAATTTTTAAAACCGTATTCTTGCTAATTTCAGTTTTTTGTTAGGAATGATACCCAGATTACTGTGCATTTTAGTAAGTAGGTTAACCCAAACATGATGCAATATGAAATAAAGATAGTTGAGGACTTCTTATACATAAATCAATTAATATGTAAAAGTGTGAACAAAAAAGTTATTGAAAAAGTTTTTTTTAATAACTTTATTTTATTAAATAAAAATATATATTATTTGTTATATGTTACCTGAAACCAATTTATTTGCTTTGTAAGAACTTTTCCATCAGAGTTTTTCAAATGTAAAAGTAAGGCTCCTAAACATTATTTATACATACATATATATATATATATATATATATATATATATATATATATATATATATATATATATATATATATATATGTATACATATATCCAGATATAATACATACATACAAACAAAAAAACTATTTTCTGATTGGTTTATAAAAATACCTCAAAACAATCAGAAAATTGTTTTTTTTTCTTTGTTTTATTGTAATAGAAATGATAAGAAAAAAAAAGATGATTTCTTTTTAAATTTTATATTAAATGAAAAAATGACTTATGTATACCTATAATATGTAATTGTGGGTATATATATATATATATATATATATATATATATATATATATATATATATATATATATATATATATATATATATATATATATATATATATATATATATATATATATATATATATATTTGAATAAGGACAGGATGTACCTGGATATGAAGGATTTTCATTATATTAAAAAAACATTTAAATATAACATTTTTTTAAAGTATGCTAAATATATTAAGATAGTGAAACAAAAGAAATCAGCCTAGGATTGTCATGAATAAAAAGAAACCCAGTTATGATAGTAGTTAGTAGTACAATGATAGGGTGAGTCTAAAGAAGTATGAGATAAAAGATTCAAAGTGATCATTGCATGGACTGTACCATCTGAAAGAGAACAAGGAGAAACTAAACAAGCTAGGGTCAGAGTCACAGATCAAGGAATGAAGGAAGTGATGAAGGTTGTCTGTTTTCTACTTTTGTCTCTTCACTTTAGTTTGCAATTTGTGTAGATTAAGACGGAACTGTTATTAGGAAAAAGTCCAAACCTTTATCTATTTTGTTGAGATTTAAAGTTTAAAAAAGAATTAATTACTCATCAAAGAAACTTTACAAACTATTAAACTTCTTTTACATAAACTTCACACTATTTCTATGGTGAAGTTCTTTTTTTTGAGAGTCATCTACCAAAAAAGGCTATGTGAAAAATAAAAAGTTTAATTTTAAAAATTACAGCAAAAAAGTTTTTATGAATGTTTCTAAAGTTTGTTTGTAAAATTCAACCTTATGATAAGTCATAATAAGTTTTATCAAATTAATATCATGAATTGATGTTTATGAAATACCATATAATGAATAATACAATGATATAATATAATAATATAATGAATTTCATATCATGAAATGATTTTCTTATTTTTAGCACTTCCAATTTTGCCACAAATTCTTTGTATTTCCTCTGAAATTTTTGGTACTGTTAAAATCTTCCAAGGTATTATAAGTCTTTACCAGCAGAGCAGCAAGCAAGTGTGCTACGTGTTAGTCTTATTATATTGTTTATTATAAAAAAGTGTTAGTAAATTATATTGTTTATTATAAAAAAGGAGGTCATCTGTCAAATAAAACACTTTGACTGTCCATCTTCATACTGCAGAGATGTCCTATTATTGTTCAACACATTCAAAAGCCATCTTATTTTTAACAACATTCTTTACTAATAAACTTGTTACAAAATCTTGTCAATAATGTAATCATATACATAGCAAAGAAAAATTGTTTGCTGTATATACAATTCAAAAATACAACTTGTGACTTTTGTTATAATTTAAGCATAATTATATAAAATTTTACAATTATAAAAAATGTGTGACTTTTGGCAATAATTAGCAAAGCTAATTAATGACGCAAATCAAAATCAAGAAGACTTGAAAACTTGTTGATTGTATGAGTCTGTAAAACATGAAAATGGAAGAAAGTTCCACTATTGATGTGTGAGAAAAAAAACTACACAAAAAGAATTTAAAGTGAAGGGAGTATAAGATTTTAAAGTGAAGGGAATTAAAGTGAAGATACAGTAAAAAAATAGGACTTTGCTGACTGAATGACAAGACAAACAAGATTGAGTTTGGTTGATGGAATTTAGTGAGACTATTCATCAATATAGAGTTATTAAAAGAAAAAATTATTAAAAATCAAGCAATATTTAGAGAAACTAACAGTCTTCAAACTCAACTCAAAATATTTGGTGTTGTTTTAGATCAACTTTTTTTTCAAAATTAAAGTTTTTATTACAAAGGAAGACTTTATAGAATAAAGGAAAAAAAATAAAAATTATGTTGATTAAATAAATAAAAAATTAAATATTTTCTAAATGCAAAATGACAGGTATCTCTTATCAGAATGGGTTGGGTTATGGCTCTCACTTAGTGAGACTGTTGCAATAATAGCAACAGTCTCACTAAATTTGACACAATTTAGTGAGACTGTTGCTATTCATCAATATAGGAATATCAACAATATTGCAATAAATGTTCACAGGGTCAGTGTTAGGGTTAGATTCAACTGATGAAAAGTTACTTCAAAGCCACAAATATTTGTAAAAATTGAATCGACACTATTAGGTGATGGTGATGGTTTTTTATGTTTAATATTTTTATGCACTTTATTCATGTTTTAAGTTAATAGAAAACTTGGTACTTGATAACCCAAGCAATGAGCTATGCATTTAGCTGAACCCTGTTAACCCAAAGTAATAACAAGAGGTTCCTAATGCAGCTTCAACATTGCACATCAAAAGCACTAACAGACATCATCTATAAAAAAAAATACTATCTCTTAAAATTCAAAAACTCAAATCACAGAAGAACTCTAGAAAATTGTAAATAAACTTTAGAAAATCAAGATGTGAAGGAGGCTTGTGATTTCCTAATATCTAAACATTCATTATCTAGTTGTATCAAAAATTCCCAAATATAAACTGTTACAGTTGTAACCAGGGGTGTGGAGTCGTAAACAAAAAGTAACGACTCTGACTCCAACTCCAGTTGTTGAAATTTTTTAAGTACAACTCCGACTCTGACTCCGACTCCAACTCCAACTCTGACTCCAAGCAAAATTTTTGAAAAATCCTTTGAATTTTTAAAAAAATATTATGCAATAAGTTAAAAAAAAGTTTTTTGACAAATTTATGAAACATTCTTTGAGGTTTAGTATAAATGTAAGGTTAATTGAATGTTTTATACATGCACGTGCAATACCGAGAAGTTTTACTATTGAAGTCGGAGTCGCGATTTTGTTTAGCGACTCCGACTCCGCTAAAAATGTCGCAACTCCGACTCCCACTCCACAGCCCTGGTTGTAACAGTTAACAGCCAACAATTTGTAACAGTTGTAACAGCTGCTGAAATCTGCTATGATTCCAGGCTTAACACCTGCATAACAATACCTGCCTAAAAAACCCAATAAAACCTGGCATTATGGGTTTTTTTGAGATATTTTATAACTTCATGATTTATTATATCCAATATTTCTGAAAACATAAACATATTGAAGTATAAAGGAAAAGATTTAATTCAAACACAATATTATTTTTAATAAAAAAAAATTTCACAGTGATATTTTTGGAAATCAAAAAAATTGAAAGATATATTGAATAAGCTTTTTTAGAATAATTACACTTTTGATATATTTTTTATAAAACCAACTATCTATTTTTGATATTGTCTATATATACTTGTACAAGCTTTTTAGCCTTTTCAATTTCTAATTTATTTCTAACTTCTGACTAAATAAAACCAAACAAGGAAAAATATTTTTTCTATTGATTCTGAGCAAGAAAGACATGTTTAAAATTTAGAAATAAATTTGTGAAACTTGTGATTTTTTCTGAATTGATTTTTTTTTTTCTCTAGTTAATAATAGACCACCAACCCCTGCACAATATTGTAGGAAATGTATCATAATCTTTTAATTTAAGCAAAATCAACTCAAAATCTGGATAATGATTATAAAGCTACTTTTCCGTCTCCTATTTATTTTCAACAATCAAGTTTTTAACTTGAGAACAAAAAAAATTATATTCCAATTATCATTATCTGTGAAAATCAATTTTTTTGATTTTTTATTTAAAAACAATTTTTACCGAAAGAACAAGGATTGGTCATGTATGTAAGATAATGAATAGACATCATAGCATCATTAAATTCCTTCCTGATGCTGTGTGGTAATGACTTAGTTTAGAATTGTTCAAAAGTGAGAGCCATAACCCGACCCATTCTGATAAGAGATACCTGTCATTTTGCATTTAGAAAATATTTAATTTTTTATTTATTTAATCAACATAATTTTTATTTTTTTTCCTTTATTCTATAAAGTCTTCCTTTGTAATAAAAACTTTAATTTTGAAAAAAAAGTTGATCTAAAACAACACCAAATATTTTGAGTTGAGTTTGAAGACTGTTAGTTTCTCTAAATATTGCTTGATTTTTAATAATTTTTTCTTTTAATAATTTTTAATAATTTTGATAGATATATCATGGTTATCTACAATTTCTATATAAATTGGGTATTTTTTATATATATTTCTATACAGTCAATATGGCAGTTTCATTGGGTATCATTTGGCAGCTGAGGCATATGCCCTCCTTTCTTGTGCAACCCTTAAAAGAAAAGTTTATTAGTTGATCCTAAACTTTTATATAGTTTTTATACTTGATGTTTATAAACAAATACAAAATAATATTTACATGCGATTGATATGTATTGCAAAAATATTTCTGCACTTAAACCATGTGTTTAATGACATCTGAATGTGTTACATCCTTTTTTAAAAGATTTAAACAATGTATAATTGTTATTGTTGTTTATTAATGGGTTGACCCATCATTTTGTTGTTTACTTCAACAACTTTTTCTAGGAGCTATTTTCCAACCATTTTATGGTGAGCTGAATTATATCCTGGTCTCAATGAATTGATCATGTCTATAAACTCTTGATTTTCAGAAGTTTTAAATGATACATTTGCACTGAAAAAAAATTTGCTATTTTTATATCAATATTTGATGTCATACACAATATCATACTAGCTGATACTGTGTATGACATCAACCATTGCTTCTCACATAATATTAACAAACTTATAGAACTAACAGATGCTAAAGAACTTGTTCCAACTTGAGATGATGGTCCTGCTATCAGAGCAGATGTATTACTTTTTAAATCATTATTTGGAAACACATTATGACAATTTTTATTCAAATATTTTGACAGGTTCAGTTGTTACCTGTATGCTTGTGTAAAAACTGAAATTTCTTTTGACAATATTTTAAATTGGGTTTTGCTTGTTCTAACTTGTTGCTAAGCAAAGCTTGATAATAGTCACAATAAACCTTTATACCCTTTCCAACTTCAGTTACTTCTTCCCATTCTCTAGCCTTTTTTCTTCAATTATCATTTTTTAATTATAAAAATTATTATTTTTAAATAAATCAATATATATAGGTTTATCATGAAATTTTTTTTCTTTACAGTTTTATAAATTATTTTAAAATAAATTAATTAGTTTTTTAAATTATTTTTAAAAATCTTTTTGAAAATATTTTGAAAAATTCTGTTTATAAATTATTAAATAACATTATATAAAATATATTTTAAGTTAAAAAATAAAATTATAGTAATTTTCAATATTATTAAATTAAAAAAACTTTCAACGGACATAAACTAAAAATAAAACCCTAGAAAAAACAGATTTTTGCAAAACCCACATGATTCAATGTTGAATAGATCAGCATATAAACAGAAAATTTTAAAAGAAAAAAAAAGTTGCAGAACTTGAAAGATTGTTTTATATGACTCTTTGGTCCTAGCCATTTTGTTACTGATTCTTAGGACTTTAACCCTTTTGTTACTGATTCTTGGGACTCTAACCCTTTAACTATTCACTCTTGGGGCTCTAACCCTTTAGTTATTGACTTTTGGAGGTCTTACTCTTTAGTTACTGATTCTTGGGGCTCTATACCTATAGTTACTGATTCTTTCGGCCTAACCCTTTAGTTACTGACTCTTGGGACTCTAACCCTTTAAATACTCACTATTGGGGCTCTAACCCATTAGTTACTGAGCAAAGAAACAAAGACCGAATACTTGTGATGATGTGGGATATAGTAAACAAACATGTTTTTGAAAGTTCATGAAAATGTGATTATAAAATATCAAAAAAATCATGAATATTCCTAAATTATTTTAATATTTCATTCTAGCTTTAAAAAATCAGTTTCACTTTTACTGGACAAAACTAATAACTCATGATTTAAAAAATCTTATTTAATGACAACTTTTGCACTGATTACTAATTTGAGAGTTGCAGTTTTGATGGTGACATAAGTTTTAATTTCGGGTTGCTATGGATACCTAAATTGTTTAGCATATTTTATTAAGCATAATAAATAATAATTGAACAAAAGTAATAACTTATAAAATATTTATCTGATTACTCCCATAATTACCATGTGGCATTCAATGTGCATTGAGTATTTTTTTTATTCTTCAAATGTAGAGGCACTATAGACTTTTCATTTGGTTGATAATGTCACTTGAAGTGTCTGGCAACCTTTCATTTTACCAAAGTTATAAACTAAGCTAATATTAATTTGGCAGTCTGATAGAAAGTTATTTTATGCATTTGAAAGATTTAACATACAGCTTATTACTAATTTTAGGTGTTTTGATGGAGTTCTAGGGCTCTGTTTTTTATGAAACTTCTATATATTATACAAAAACAAACCTAAAGCTTGATCTTGTATATATCATAATTTAAAAGTATATTGGGATAATTGTAAAACAGGTTTAGCTTCTTTTTCTTTACCATTTTGGTGCTAACTGCAACCTGATACAAACAATAGTTCTGAAGATAAAAAAAATGCAACTAATGGTGCCGCTCTTCATTTTTTTGTTTTATTACTTGTATGTTGTAATATCAAGATTCACCTGCCAGATACTACAGTTGGGATAAGAGCTGAGGTATCTTTATCAATAGAAGCAGTTGAAAGAATCAGTTCATTTTGTAGCAATTGTTTATTATTCTCTTTGAACAAATTTTAGAGCTTTTGCATATATGCCAGCTTTGTCAGATGCTTTATGAAAGTACACAAGTAATTATTTGCAGTTAAGTTCATGCAATTTTAAACTGCATCCAAAATATTAGGATTATCTAACTTCAAGTTTTCTTGTATTATATATGCACAATCATGTTTTAACTAAACTATATAAAAATATAAATTACATGTACACATTTACAAAATATTATAAATAGGTATTTGAAGATATTAAAACAAGTTTGTAAACATATTTTAACAAGTTTGTTGAATTTACATATGTACATTATGCACATATGTAAACTTGGTTATTACAGCAGATAATAAACCAAATTTACATATGTACATATTTATCAACATATTTTAAGTCAAATTACTAGACCACTTTGGACCATACGTTAATTCTATTATTTAAGTTAAATTTTAACTAAAAAAAGTACTATAAATATGCTGTCATTTGAAATCAACTTATTTAACATAATTAACATCCAAAATAGTATTGCAACAGCTTATTTGAAAGATAACACTTGATTTTATTTAAATATGAAATAAAAAGGGACATTTTAAAAT